ATTGTAGAGCAATAGTTAAAATGAGGTAGAATTATAGTATTATATATAATACATTTAGTCCACTGTGATAAGCCAAATTAACTTCTAAATAGGAAATTTAACTTAAATGCAATAGTTTTGATTATTTCCCTTGTTTTATATTAACCAATGAAATGTCACAATTTTTAAAATTCAGACCAATCGGATTCAGTTATCAGCGACTATTTCTCTAGACCAAATAGGGACCGTGCGTCATGACTTTAACGCCAACTGGTGACAAAAATTTGAACTTTATGGAGGGATTTATTCATGTTTTATACGGCATTAATTATTTAGTAATTATTAATTAAATAAAGTCGAATTATTTTCGTAATATCATTATCGAAAAAACTTGTTGCATTCGTGGATGTACAAACACATCACTTTGGAAACCTGGATTTGATTCGATAGTAAAGAAATTTTTTAAATTTCCACAGAGCACACTTGTGTCATACACCCAATGATATACATAATTACATATATTGATTATCCATACGTAAATCAGACGACAGAAAGCGCATTTCATTGGGCAAAGTTTTCTTTTTATCTATAATCAATTTTGAGCACTTAATTGTAAACAAATCATTTACAGAACCGGTTTAGAAATTAGAGTCTTTAGTGTTTTTTTGTCATTAAGATTTTTACATATTTAAATAAACATTTTATATAAATATAATTTTACAGATAATGGTTTATTCTGTTAATTAAAGTTAATGAAGAATATTACTGTGAAATTAGAATGTCCAATTTGACAAAAATAAGATGGCCCCCTTTACAATTTATTAACTATTTCTCATTTATCACTAAAATAAACAAATCATAATTAATACATTTTAATTACTGTCAAAAGAGATTGCAACAAATTTTAAAATATTAAAAATCCACTGATTTTTTGTAAAATTTTTTAGTAACATTACCATTACATAAACAATACTCAGAATAATAGATAAATTGTCCAATCACAACTCTTAACAAAGGTATTTATTATCTCATATCAAAGTTGTTTACATTAAATTTAAAAGTTGTATTACATATTGAAATGATGTGTTTCATATAGTGTTATTTCTGAAATTAGAGTGGTCTAAAATTATTTACATTCATCTGTTATAAAAATAGTTTAGATCTCTTAATATTATTTAACTACACGAATAATTTTATTTTTTAGCTTTTTACTAAACATATAAAAATCTTTTGATTAAACGGTAATTAGCGATATATTTTTATAAATTTGTGCAGAAACCTTGTGATCAATCAGTCAGCACATGATGCAGACGCTGATGAAGATCAGGAGATCAACTTGGATTCGCCTTCAGGTCTAAATAGAAATTTTTGATTAATAGTCTTGAAATTTTTTCTATGACAATTTATATTGTGAACATCAATGCAAACAATTTGAATTATGAAAATTAATTTTATGTTTTTTGAAAATCTTGAAAACTGTTTTATAAAAATATCGATATTTATTTAGTACTTTCACAAATTTTCTAATAAATTTACATATTAAAAGAATTTTTTTACTCGTACAACTAGTGTTATTTTGCAAAACACAAAAGACATTTTGAATACATAACACTATTTATCGCGTCTGACGAACGATTTAGTGCAACAATATTAGAGGCATTTTGCACATTTGGGGACATTTACACCACCTGAGTAACCATAGTTTGCCAAAATACAAACGACATTGGATATTGTTGAGCCCATTCATACCGTTCCCATTTCTCATTACAAATACAATCAAACAGATATTTCCTTGAATTAAGCCCATTTGACATATAACAAAGACAACTATTATAAAAAAATACAAACGGCACAACCATCAAAGAAATTTCTTCATCGCGTTCTGTATTTCAAAAAGAGAGAAAATACAAACGTCATTTTGTAGACTTATGCCTTTTGGTACTGTTAATTTTCTGAGCGCTACAATCATTTAGGCTTAAGTTCTGCATAGCTCCACTCATTCTATAACTAATATTTTACTATGTCTCAATACTAAAGTGACAAGTGCATTAAGTTTTTTGATCTCGTTTCAACTTAGATTTGATCGGACTTCAAAATAGGCATTTAAATCGGACGTGTCTCTAGTTCTTGGATTTACAAAAACACAGTTTTGAAGGTACACTTGTGCCTCTTGAGAATTTATCAGTCGATATAATGATGGTTGTTCTTGTTCAAATATTTCTTGAAGATCATAATTTGGCTTGATTTAAAAAGTTGTTCCGGTACTTGATGTTTGATTCTGAAATAAAAAGATCATAACAGATGTATTGTTCATCTACAAATGAGTCGTCTTTCAGTTGTTACACAGGAAGATATTGCTAAATATTTTGTATTCAAGAAAATACCGCTATTGGTACTACTGCCACCACTTCCACCAATTTTCTCGTTTTCAAAGATTTCACAAGTTTGTTAATTGTATTAAAATTAGATTGCCAGTGTACATTTTCAAAACTCTTGCATATCTCCCTACTTTCTGCTTCTATAGCAATCGATGGTCTAGCTATGGTTTTTTTAGTCCGGCGACTCAATAATGTAAAAAGGATGTTGACATATGGTGGCTCTAAAAGACGTTTTTGTTATTTTTATGATTTCTGTGTATGTCTAAGGTACAAAATCAATGTACCTGGATTAGTGGAACTTTTGCTTTTCAGAAATTTCCATTGATCTGAAATTGTTACAAGGTTTACTGTACCAAATAAAAAAATTAAATATTACAGGTCATTTTCTAACTGTTCCTGATATACTATTTAGCAGAGGGGCTATTTTCTCAGCTGAGGACTACCTTTACTTTCAGGTGTGTAGATAAGCCACAGGTAGTAAACCTGAAATAAAAAAAAACAATTATTGTAATATAAATGTTCCGAAAAGTAAATAATATTACTTACATGTTTATTTATATTATTTTGTTTGATTTTAATACTGCTCCCATCTATTGAAGTAAATGCTTCAATTTTCTTGGTATTTGCCTTCTACAAAGAATTGGTTCATGACTGATTACATACCTCTTTACATAAGAGCAATAAGCATTTTCCCTAAAATGCTGAGAAGAGAAGTAACGAAGTTTAGCTAAAAATAATTTCTAAGCAATTTGATTAATGGTTTGTAACCACTGTTCATGTTAAGTGCTTGAGATTCGTAGGAGACCTAAAAAATAAAATGCTTTAGAATACAACAATAGGAAAATAAATAAAGTAGTTACTGTTGCTTACAAATAGAAAGATTTAACATAAAATCACCAAGTAAAGCAAGGTTTTCAAAATATTATTTGTTAATGGTTTTGTAACGTGTAGGTTCGTAAATAATATGTTTGGGGTTTGACTTTGGGTAAATATTAGAACATAACCACTAAAACATGACTATTGTGCCAAGATGTAAGCTACCCGTAATAAGGCGTCAAAATGGCGGAGTTTTCTATCTCCTTTTAAAAAATCGAAGTATGTGTTCTACCCTTCGAGCATATATATATGCTCGAAGGTTCTACCCTCTCTAATTCTTTGGTCGCTACATAAATAGATGAGATATGCAATCAAACATACACCAATGATGTATGTTGTAAGTGATAAAAACTACAGAGGACCCCGCACTTTTTGTATTGATTTGGGTGCTGTCAGAATTTGTTCAAATTTGTATGTTACTTTTTAGGTTAGGTTAGGTTATGGACAACTTTCTTATGGACCTCAAGTTTGCAGCTCTACAAGGTGAATTGTTAGAAGGAGTCAAAAGTAAAGAGTGCAGAAAAAATATTGTCACTCTTAAGTTATTCATGTTTTTTCCATGAAACTTACGGCATGTGTTACATTTGTAAATAGCTTAGACTAGGTAATAAAGAGAGGACGCGTAACAAGTATATCTAGCACATGTGGTATTCTGTGTCGATTATCTATTGGCCGACATTATTTTGGTGCTTAGCATTTCCGGCGACACCAAAGTTTTTGTTCGTGTTTATTTCTGATTTTTGAATTAAACGACATTTAATCATTGGTTTATTACGGTTTATTAATAATAATAATAATAATAATATTTATTCAGGAAGCAGAATCCATATACATCAAATAGTGAAACACAAGAAGTTTTAAAAAAAATACAAGGATTATCTACTATACTGAAAAGGAATCGTATTCATCGTAGCCTATCAGAAGACAGACTAAAATGGTTTTCAATACGCCCGGTCAAAATTAATAGTTTAAATATAAACACCCCTTAAATGTAGTACATATAGTACATATTGTGTGGCATATCAGTGTAAAAGTTAAAGCGGCAAGAAAAAAGCAGATATTACGTGTTAAAGTAATTTTATTGAATTTGTTAAAATTATTAATACAGGGTGATTCATAACTATTGGGACATAGATTAAGGGCAGGTTATTTAGATCAAAATATAGCGATAGGACCAAATATACCTTAATAAAATATGGCTGTGGAATAAGATACAGGGCGTTAAAGTTGATTTTTTTTTCGTTTTTTTTTTATAATCTCACTGTATATTTATGAATTGTTATCAAAATCGGCTCAAAGGCATATCTTTGGACAAGGGATATTATTTTATGTATTATTTCACATTTTTTTAAAGGGGGCGCCACGAAAATGATTCCTGATGATGAAATTAAGTGGTAAGTTTTTTTGCCGAAACTTTTTAGTGCTTTTTATTAGAAAATATTACGTAAACATTATTTCTACGTAATATTGGTACTCCTGTTTAAACACGATAATTTCACCTGTTTTCGAGAAAAACGCAATTGAACAGTTCAGAGTCTCAGAAGGATATTTCAAAAAATATTTTATTTATGAAAAGTGTGCTTTGGACTGTCAGCTATTGTGTCTGGTAAATGTTAGTTCTTTCCAATGAATTATTTTTGCTGTGAGATTATAGTCTATTGTTGCATTTTTTAACGCCCTGTATCTTATTCCACAGTCACATTTTATAAAGGTATATTTGGTCCAATCGCCATATTTTGGTCCAAATAACCTGCCCTTAGCCTATGTCCCAATAGTTATGAATCACCCTGTATAGTGAATATCTACTCATGCTCAACCCGACGGAATTGAGTTCGATCGAAATTGATATCGCAATTAGACTCCATTAGAGACTGGAGTCGAGAATTTCCATTTATTGCTGAAGAGTCCTAATAAGGATGACTTTCTCTTTAGTGGGCAAAATCAAAGGCGCAGAGTGTTGAAAATATTTTGAGTGTTGAAAATATTTTTTATCTCTGCTATTTTCTTTCGACGTTATTCAATAATCATCATTGGTTACTTATGAACCTCTACTAAAGATACCCATAAAATATTTTGCTGAATATCCGAATATCTTCTATATCCTGGGATATAGACGGACATTTGGATATCCATATTAGATCCACTGGATATATTGGATACCCACAAAATATATTCTGTGGATATCTCTGGGATTTCTTGTATTGTCTGGAAGATACCCATTAGATATTTTGCTGGATATCCATAGGATATCTTCTATATTCTGGATATAGACGGACATTTGGATATCCATATTAGATCCACGGGATATTTCTGATATCCTGTGGATATATTGGATATCCACAAAAGATATTATGTGGATATCTCTGGGATTTGGTGTGTTGTCTGGGTTTATATTTACAATGAATTTGAGGAAAAGGGATAGACATATTAACATGCAAGAAAATTCCGATAAAAAGAGAGCTTCTTAAAGTCTGTATGTCAATTTTTGATCCACTGGGGTTTCTATGCAATATTATGATCACAATCAAAATAATTTTACAGCAAATTTAGAAGCTGAAAATAGGATGGGATGACGAAATACCCTCAACATTAAATCAATATTGGGAAATATGGATATCTGAAGTTCAGAAATTGATTCCTAATTTACAAATACCTAGAAGTTATGGCCTTTTCACAAACTTAAGCGAATCAGAGTACACAGAATTACATGGTTTTTGCGACGCTAGCCAAAAAGCTTACGCTGCCGTGGTGTATCTACGCTTTAGACGAGGAAATACCTACGAGTCATCACTCGTATTTGCTAAGACTAGGGTAAGTCCTTTGAAGCAAACTTCTATCCCTAGACTTGAACTTCAAGCAGCAGTGATGGTTTCAAGGATGATTAAAGTTATAACTTCTGAAATCGAGGTAAAAATTGATAAAATCTACCTGTGGAACGATTCTAGAACCGTTTTAATCTGGATAAAATCTGAAAATTTAAGATTTAAAATATTTGTCGCACACCGTATTGGAGAGATTCTTGAAATTATAGATAGAAATGATTGGCAGTGGATATCAACAAAAGAAAACGTTGCGGACGAAGCTACGCGTGCTGCAAAACACATGTTTTATTTAGAAAGATGGTTTTATGGGCCAAAGTTTTTACAGCTAAATAAAGAACTGCCAATACAAGACCTTGAGAGAGAAAACAGACAAGAAATTTCCGAAGACGAATTAGAAATCAGAAAATCACCTATAATGACTTTACAAAATATCTCGAATCAATCTGTATATCTACCAGACCCAAGAAGATTTTCTAAATTGGAGAGGTTAGTTAGGAGCACTGCTTGGGTGTTAAGGTTTTCAAAAGCGTTAACGAAAACTAGAGTGGAGAGTAATAGGAAATACAGAATTAACAGGAAGTTAATGAATTTCAAAAATTTAGAGGCCCTGACAGTTGATGAAATTGAAAACGCAGAGAATAGTTGGAGATACAAAAAGAATATTATGGAGAAGAAATCAAACAAATCAATGATGGAAAAAATATAGAAAAATCTAGTAAAATTTATAAATTGTCACCTTTTTTAGACCATAATAATGGAATGCTCTGTTCAAAAGGAAGATTACGCACTGAAATAAAAGACATTTCAATTAGACGAGACCCAATAATTTTAGATGCAAAACATGAATTTACAAAATTACTTATAGATTATTTCCACAGAAGTTTTCATAGTGGAGCAGAATTTGTATTAAACGAAATAAGGCAAAAATTTTGCATTCCCAGGTTAAGGAATTCTACGAAAAACATTTTAAGAAATTGTCAATGGTGTAAAAATCGTAGAGTCAAGCCAGTGGTACCAGAAATGGGATTCTTACCAGATGCTCGATTAGCAGTGTTTGAAAAACCGTTTTCACGGACTGGCATGGACTATTTTGGTCCCATAATAGTAACTGTGGGTAGAAGACATGAAAACAGATATGGCGTGATTTTCACCTGTCTAACAACGAGCGCCGTCCATATCGAAGTAACTCTGAATACAGCATCAGTTATTATGGCACTAAAAAGGCCAGTTGGTAGACGAGGTACTGTCAATGAAATTTTTTCCGACAACGGCACAAACTTTCACGGAGATAACAGAGAATTATTAGAAAATATTAAGAACTTAGGCGAAAATGACCTTAAGACACACATGACACTTAATAGAATAGTCTGGAAATTTAATCCTCCAGCAGCCTCTCATATGGGAGGAAGTTGGGAAAGATTAATTCGATCGATAAGACAAAGCTTAGATTTTGTTCTTAAAAAAAATTCCCGAAAGATGAAGACTTAAACACAATATTCGTGGAGATCAAACATATATTAAATTCTAGGCCATTGACATATGTTCCCGAAGATCCAGAGTTTCCCGAAAGCTTAACTCCTAACCACTTTTTAATCGGTTCCTCCGCTGGCAAATTCCCTGATTATCCAGATGGCGATACAAAACTAAATTTAAGACTTCAATGGAAAGCCGTTCAAAATCTAACCAATAATTTTTGGAAAAGGTGGTTGAAAGAATATTTACCAGAGGTGAGAATAACTAAATGGCATGAAAAGGGGGCAGAATTAAAGGAAGGTGACGTAGCATACATAGTGGACAGTAATTTACCGAAGAAGACATGGCCAATGGGCAGAATAATCAAAACATATCCCGGACGAGACAAAATAAGTTTGGCAACGCCTAATTGTCTCAATAAATTTTTTAATACAAACTATTTTCAACTACATTAAAACGTAACAATTGAAAGATTATAACATTTTTAAAGTAATGGTTACTTTACCAAATGTTCAAAATGTGCTCCATTTGCGAGTTGACAGTACCCTAATCGATGGTAGAATGCGTCTACCCCATTTCGCCATGATTGTTTTATTTATTTAAGACCTTCCAGACTACATAAAATCATAAGTGTTACATATTGTTGAACTCGTATTGCATAGGAGATTTCAATAATGACTGAATATACAAGGTGATGAATTTTAAAAACCAAAGTGACTAATAATTTAAGAAAAACGGCAAATCTGGCAACATTGCAAATATCAAATCTGGAATCACCATATCCCAAAATAGGCGCACCCCACATTTTGTACAATTAGGACTAGCAATTTACGAGATAATTGGCCGTTTCCAGACTTTTGGGCCACTCCGTATTTTTTTAATTACTATATGTTATGCACTTTTAAGAATTTAACAACTCTTTTGTGTATAATTCAAAACATTACCGTAATAATTGTTTGTAAGAGCTAAAAAGAAGAGCATTGCATTTGGAAGCTGAGCCAGGCCCTTCAGATAGAACCACAAATAAGGAATCTATCCTAGAAAGCCCTAGCATAAAACGGCTTAGAAGGCAACTTTTACAACAGGTAGAAAAGAATAAAGAAAGAAACAAGACAAATCAATGTTCTTAAACAAAAACTTAAAAGATATAAAAGAAGAGTTGTTTCGCTAAAAATTCTTATACCAAATTAGTATTATTTAAGGGTCAGTAATAAATTTATCTTCATTTATGTATAATTTTTCTTACTAGCTTAATTTAATAATACCCAGATAGACTACATCTTAAAGACGTCCAGTTCATGTTTTACCTTCGTCCAAACGTCCTGGTACGTAAAACGGACATGTTTAAAACGTCTTTATTTGGATGTTTTTAGGATATTTTAAATATGTCAGTAATGTGGACGTTTAACTGTTTTCGCTATTTTTGAATATGGCGCCACGACACCGTTCTTGATCGTCATTCGTCATTGTCATTGGCTGATTGCATAGCCTTGCGCGCGCGTATCGAGTCGTGTTCTTCCTCTGGCTGCCTTCTTCTCGGGACAGCCGTTGTATAATATTTTTAGCGTCAGTCTGTGGACATTGTCATTACTTTTTCATGGTTGTGTGTTTTTATATATTGTCTTTTTATATTAATTATTTGCCATTATTGGAACTGTGGTATACCGGAATTAGTAAACTTTATCATTAAAAACGGTAAGTTTTAATTTATTTGCCATTAATTTCATAACGTTATTTTAATAATGTTTTATTTTTTAGAAAAACACCTTAAAACAATAATTCAATAAAATTATATACTACGAGGACATTAGTTACAGAGGCTTTGGCCAAAATTAATACAATGAAAGAAGTTTTTAAATCGACCAAACTGGAAAAAGTAGGATTTCCGGGAATAGTTTCCCATAGCAACAAGTACTTGAAGTCATTTTCTAATTATTTTATGCAACACTGTAAAATAATATTTACTCTATGTGTCAGTTTTAATAGTTTAATAATGTATAATAAACTGTATTAAATATTGTAGACAAGTATTCATTTATTTTTTTAAACGAATTGCCATTAAGTAAATAGAAGGCTTAAACACGTCCAATAGGGTTTGTCTTAAAGACGTACAAAACTGGATGTCTTAAAGACTTACAAAATTATATGTACTAAATACGCCTTGTTTTGTAACAATGTATGTCCTATAGACGCCTTTAAAACATGTTTTGGATATTAGCGTATATCTTCAAAACATCACGAGCGTCGTGAACAAACGTCTTTAAGATGTCTTTAAAACGTGTCTGAACTATCTGGGTAGTGTCATTCTTTATTAACTAAAAATAAATCTGTTTGTAATACATGCAGAATTAAAAAAAAAACAATTTCATTGAGTTTATTTTAATATATTTTTATCTTGTGTCTTATTTATTGTTACTTTATTTAAATTTTACGCTTTGAACTTGCTTTATACCTAAAATGATCAATAAAGTTCTAATAACATAAATACAAGTTCGTTTTTTATTTCCAACATGTTACGCCTTTGGTCGAATATCGTTGGTGTCAGAATGGAACAATATTTTCAGCGGCCTTATGAGTCCTCTCTTTATTACCTAGTCTAAGGTAAATAGTTTGTTAACGCTTATTTCCATTTTGTAAAATACATCATACAGAGTGTTAAAAAAATAGGAATATTAATCACTAAAATAAGGTGCATTTTCATGTATTTCCATAATTAGAACATAACTTCTGATCGCTTATTTGTTACATTAAATACTAGATAATATTTAATAATAATACAGGGTGTGAAATATTATCTAATACAAAAATATAACAGTTTCTTTACATAGATTTTCAGACCCAACAAATTATAAATCAATAAAAAAGAAATTGCATTTTTATAAACCTGTCTTATTATATACATTAACTATTTTCACACCATCAAAATCTGACTCATCTATTAGCAGCATTTAAAATAGTCCTTAATTAAACACTTTAAGCATACTTTTTAAAATTATTTTTGAATCATCCATATTCCAGTTACAACAAAATACTTGAAATAAGAACACACATGCCTATAATTTTTGAACCAATTTTATATTTACAGTAATATCTAGTAATGTGATTCTCTTGTATTTTTTTGTAGGTATATAACATAGAAAGTTTCCTAACAAAAATAAACTACCTACTATCAAAAATTCCTAATAACAAACTTTTAAAATTGTTCCTAATAACATAGCCCAAAAAAGAAGAAGAAAATATAGAATGCAAAAAAGAATCTAGTCTGAAACTGCAATGATTACAACAACCACACCCTATCATAATAAATTAGCTGTTAGTTAATCTAACACCAATCTTTTAGCTCATAGATTTTTTTTTTAATTATTCTGATTGATAAACAAAGAAATAAAAAAGTTACGTCATATGCATAGAAAATAATCTAAAGCAAGATAAAAGTATGTAGTCATAAAGTAATACTGAAATAACTCTATAAGGTTTTTTATGAGATTTTATTTTAACTAAAACCCGAGCTAAAACCGAAAAATCTACAAATACAAATTATATTTATGTGATAAGCTGGCATCTGCACTATATATAAAAATCAGAAAGTGCTTTTTAATTAGATTATGTCAGAGTTAGGTAGAATTATTTCTACATTTAAGTAGGCGTAGAGCAGGATTTGGTTAGTTAAAAAGAGCTTTGATTATATACGAGCAATACTGAATTCATTTCAAGACTTTCTACAATATTTTAGATATGTCAAGTTTTTCGTTAAATGTGTTTTTGTAATCATTCTTAGTTGTTTATATAGCTCTATCACACCCTGTATTACTTATAAAAATTATTTAGTATGAAATGAAACTATAAAATGGCCAGAAGTCATATTCTAACTATGGTAACACATGAAAAATGCACCATATTTCAGTAACCAATATTGCTAATTTTTTGAACAAGCTGTATGTAAGTAAGCATGAACAAATTATATACAAGTGTAACACATAACATAAGTTGCATGGAAAAATCATGAATTACTTAAAAATTGGGGAGATATATTTGAAAATATTAATTCTGCATTCCTTATAGCTATTCTAGGGATGTCGCTACACATGGGATGTATGTATATTAGCAAAAAATAGGATCGTAAGCATAGCAGTTATGTTTAATAAATGTATTAAAAAGCTGTTCGAGGCTTCCATAACAAAGGTTGACATTTTTGACAAAAAAACTAAACTATATATTACAGTATACAGAACACCAGATAGTAAGGTACCTAGATGTTTTTCTTGATGGGGTAATATGATAAACCTTTTGATTATTAATATTAGGGAAAAAATTATTCTTCATAAAAAGTCGAGCATGGTCTGAAATGTAAAACACAACCATCAGATATCAAATTCTATAAGTCGAATAGGTTTGTCAAAAATAGAGATACTTTACTCTTCATTAAAATTCAGAACTTTTTATAAACTTTTATAAAGAATGATTTTTTTCATAAAACTAAGAACAAAATAGTAGCCCATATGGTTCCGACTTAATTGGACACACTGTATATAATGATTGTAAAAACACACAGCCTCAGAGTGATAATGAAACATTTAGCTCGAATGACGCCTCATTATTTTTTACACAATCTACGAGACAATTTACTACTTTTCAGGTACTCGAAGCTAACCCAGCAATGTATAAAACCAGGTCTGGCAGATAAGCTAGACTTGTAAAGGGGAGATGTACGATATATTAGGTTAAGTGACCAGTTCTTGGCTATTAGCTAATACATACCTAGTTGGTATTACAAGTTTGTGTTGCCACGACTGAGTGCCTTGTCATGACAGCCAGTAAATCTAGTTGTTAAAAAAACATGGATGTATCATTATAGTAGCTTTAA